GGGCATTTATCGGAGGATAAGGGGGCACTTATCTGAAGTGAAAAGGAGTAACTTTTCGTACCTATAAAGGGTCATTAACCAGAGAAGGGGCACTTATGAGAAGGGGAATAGGCTCCTCTTTAATGAGGCACTTATCATTAGGAAAAGCGGCACTTATTAGAAAGGAAAAGGGGCACATGTGAAAATATAAGATGCGCTTATCTGAGTTAAAATGGGGGTAGTTATCAAAAGGGGAAGGGGCACTTATTACAAAGCAAAAGGGGCACCTTTCAGCTTTGAATAGGGCAATTATCAGTGGGTGAAGGGGGTACTAATCAAAATTGAAAAGAGGCACTTCTCGTACCTGAAAAGGAGCACTTACTAGAGATTAAAAAGGGCATTTATGAGAATGGAAAATCGACATTTATTGCAAAAAAAAGGAACTTGTCGAAGGAAAAGGGGCACGCGTCAAAATAAAAGGGGCACTTATCAGGGTTGAAAAGGGGAAGAGGTACTTTTACAAATTAATAGGGGCACTTTTTAATGTAAAAGGGGCACTATTCCTATGTAAAAAAGGGCACTTCTTACAAAGTTAAAGGGGCACTTTTCGGGTGCTTGAAAAATTGGGGGCACGGTGGAGCTGTAGACACCAAGCTAGCTGGATGCCTACATCCTTCGGCTACATTTGATAGTTTATCGTAAGCAATTTTCTACTTTTACAAAGTGAATTTTCAGTTGACCCCCCCAAATAAAATTCAAACGTAGTTTATTTCTAATTCGATACCAGTGATATAAAAATGTTGCTGAAATGACATGATTTCCGCATGTTTTATTTGATTTGATTTGATTTGATTTTCTTCTGCATTCATGTAAGTTTACAGTTTTTCGATAACAATAATATAAAATACAATAAGTATTTTTCTAACAATAAATCATAAATTAGCAAATAAATATATATATATATATATATATATATATATATAAACTGTTATTTTCAAAAATGAAATGATAAATTACCACAAATACTAAATTCCGCCAAACATTGTAACACATAACATTATTTGCGGAAGGAGAACTGTCGTTGTAAGCATATTGCTTGATAAAACGACTGCCCCAGACAAACTCATGAAATATATTAACACATTTATTAAGCAGAAACGGATAGGTAATTGAAAATACAAATTTCGATGATGGTGATGCAGATGAGGATGATGATGATAATGAAGATGATGATGATAATGATGATGATGACGATGTTGATAATGATTCGAATGAAAGAAGAGATGACATGATAAAGAATGAAGAGTGGACACAGAAATTCTCCCTTGAGTATTCTGAAAATAACATAGTTTTAACTTTGGCCTTAAATGAGTAGAGGGAGCAACATGATTTAATAGATTCTGGGAGAGAGTTCCAAAGGTCAGGACCATGATGTCTTATGGATCTGTGGGCAATAAGTAATTTCAGATTTACTATAATATTTAAATACTTAAACATGATCAGTAAACTTTGTGGCGAATTTATGTCGAATACTGTTAGGGTCTTCAGTTTGTAAAATATTGGACTTGTGTAAGATAAATATGGTGAACCAGTACATATAGGAAGTGCTTTCTTTTGAAATAAATAAATAGAGTTGATTTTGGTTTTGGCGCTGGTTACTTACTGCCCATTATGCCTCCTGGCACATAGGGCAGCAACAAAAGTCTTCCACTCCTTCCGATCCTGGGCCAGTCTTTGGATTGTATCCCATATGTGTGGTTCAGGTCTTTAATCTCCCCTTCCACAGTTCTTCGTCAAGTGGTTTTAGGACGTCCCCTCTTTCTTTTGCCTTCTGGTGTCCAGTGGAGGGCTGTTCGTGTGATGTCATCTCTGTTCTTTCTCATTACATGCCCGATCCATCTCCACCTTCTTCTCGTGATGATGTTCTCCATGCTGTCTTGATGGCATTGGACATACAGTGTTTCATTTGAAATGGTGTTTGGCCAGAAAATGCGGCATATTCTTCTAAGACTCTTTGTGTGGAAGACTGATAGCTTACTGAGGTCGTTTTTTGTCATTCTCCAACATTCAGAGCCGTACAGGAGAGTGGAAAGGACACAGCTCTGGTACAATTTTAGCTTGGTCTTGGTGCTGTACTGCTGTGATCTCCATATATTATTGAGCATTCTGAGTGCATTTCTGGCTTTATTCAGACGGTTCTGAATGTCTTTGCGCCTCCATCGTGCCTGACAGTGCTGCCCAGGTAAGATCATCTGCAAAGTCGAGGTCCTCAAGAGTAGAAAAGAGGGTCCATCTTATGCCTCTTTTTTGGTCTTCAGTTGCCTGTCTCATCACCTAGTCTATGGCGATATTGAAGAGCAGTGCCGACATGACACACCCTTGTCTAACTCCAGTCTTCACTTGGAACTTATGGTTACTGTTTCCAACTCTGCATGTGAAATTGGTGTAAAAGCTCTTAATTACAAGAACTAGCTGCTCTGGTATCCCATATTTGCATAGTATTTTCCAAAAGCTGTCTCGGTGGATGCTATCGAATGCTTTTTCAAAGTCAACAAAATTAATATAAAGTTTCCTCTGCCATTCTGTGCATTGCTCTATGATGTTACGAAGTGCAAATATCTGGTCAGTGCACCCTTTTCTCTTCCGAAAACCTGCCTGTTCCCTTCTGAGATTTCGGTCAACAGCATCTATGCTACGTTAATAATTTTCTTTGCCAATATTTTGCTTGGTATTGACAATAGAGTGATGCCACGCCAGTTATTGCAGTTTTTTGGGATCCCTTCTTTGGTAATTTTACGATAACTCCCTCAGACCAATCGCCGGGAACTGCCTTCCTTTCCCATATAGCTGTGAAGAGTGGCAAAAGAATTTTTGCTGCTAATTCTGGGTCCGCCTTAAAAAATTTTGCGTTGAGATTGTCAGAGCCAGGGGCTTTACCATTTTTTAGTGATTTAATTGCAGCTATTACTTCTTCTTTAGTTGGTGGTATGCTGATGACATCCAAGTCAACCTCTGCCTCTTGTATGTCAGCCTCTACTGTCGGTGGTGGTCTATTCAATACCTCGTTTAAGTGCTCGGCCCATCTAGCTTCCTGTTCTGCTTCTGTTGTAAGAAGCCTCCCCTGTTTGTCTTCAATAGGTGAATTTGTGGTTCCTCTATACTTGCCACTGATTATTTGAGTAATTTTATATACATTTCCTTGTTCTCCTTTATTGGCTGCTTCCTCTGCCTGATTTGCAAGGTCTTCAACAAAGGCATGTTTGTCTGCTCTTATCTTCGTCTTTACCGCCTTGTTTGCCTCTCGGTACTGAAGCTTATACCTTTCTTTCAGTCTGACTGATTTTGCTTCCATGGCTTGTTTCTTCGCTTCCCTCCGTTTATTTATTGCTTGCCAAGTTTTATCAGTTATCCACTCTTTCTTTTCCTTCTTTTTGACTCCTATACATGATTCACTAGTTTTCAAGTAGGCTGTCTTAACCTGTTCCCAGTTGGTGTTGACGTCATCTGTGGCAGCATCCATATTTGGTTGATTGTCATTTTCTAGTTCCGCTAATATCTGAAATCTATTCTTAAGCTGCAATACGAAAGAGCTCTTCACTCTAGGATCTCGCAACTTGTCAACATCGAGTCGTTGTTGTCCTGCCTTCCTAGTACCGGTTTTCCTGATTTTTACTTTGACTACTGGCGCTGGAGGCCCATACTAAATTGCAATATATTGTATACGGTAATATCAATGAATTATAAAGCAAAACAAGCGTATAACATGGGATTAATTTCTTCATTTTATATAATAAACCAACATTCCTAGAAATAGAAGTAGTGATATGACGTATATGTCCATTCCAGTTTAGATTTTCATCGATAATGACACTAAAAAATGTTGTTGTTCTCTTTCTTTCGAGAGGGACATTATATATAATTATGCCAGAGGCGGCACTCCCGGTTGGGGGCACTGTGCTCCCACTTTTTCAGGTACTTCCCAAAAGCCCATTTTTACATAGATCAAGTGCCTTTTTTCTCTTCTAATAACTGTCTTTTTCCTCTCTTTTTATTTCTGATGAGTACGTCTTTTCAGGTGCGAGAAATTCCCCTTTTCACCTCTAATATTTTTGCCCTTTTTATTTTGACTCGTACCCCTTTCCTTTTTAATTAGTGTACTTTTTCTTTCTTAATAAGAACCCCCTTCCCTTTATCTTAAATGCCCCTTTTCACATCTGATAAGTGCCCCTATTAAAATCTGACAGGTGCCCTCTTCCTTCAACAGATTCCCCATTTCCATTCTCACAAGTGCCTGTTGAGTGTCCCTATTCATGTGCAAGAAGTGCCATTTTCACCTATGATAATTGCCTTTTTTACTTAGACACAAGCAACTTTTCTTTTCTAATAACTGTCCTTTTCCCTTTTGATAAGTGCCTACCTTTTCTTTCTCCATAACATGCACCCCTAATTCAAGGTGATTTAGAGCCCTTTTTCTTTAATTTTTCCTTAAGGTCGCTTGCTACGCTCGCTCCCATTTATAGATGCTATAGTTACTTATGAAAGAACTTTTCACTCTCTCTTCATTAGATTGTGATTAATACTCATCAGAGTGTTTTTTTTCCCTTCTTTTTAAGATGAAATTCTTTGCACTGGGACCTCACAAATCTTAACATTTTTGTTCGCTCGCTCGATAATTCAGACCATTGCACTAAACTGCACAGTATGTTGCTTAATCAAGCAGTATCTTGTTCCACGTAAAGAAATTTAAAAATATCGATATCATCCCTGGTAGTGTAATCGCAACCATGACGATGTAGGGGTATATACCTCTGTTTTTATAATGTTTCCCTTTGTAGGTGCCCCACTGCCCATTTTGTTGTTGTTGCCCCGGCCCCCCCCCCCCTATTTTGGAAGACGCTCCACCGCCCCTGCATTATTCTACTTGGTGGTGATACAGATTTTGTTCCAACCCCCAAATTTCTTTGCTCATTACGCCACTGAATACAAGATTTTATAAGCAATGTTGCTGTTATATGTTACAGGGTTGTTTTCCTCAGATCAGGAAGGGAAACTTCAGGTTCAATGCCGTTGCTCAAAATGACTTGGACTCATTTCTGCACGCCGTCACATTGCAATCGCCCCGACGTTTGGACAGGAAAGTACAGAAAGGGTATTAAAAAAAAAAATCAGAGAACAGCATGTAGAATTTTCATGAGTAGTGCTATATAAAAACAATTTAAAGAGCCTTTAATGTAATTCGAAAAAAATATACAATGCTGATCATTACCCCAGCAATTTACGATTTCTCGTCTGTCAGAAATAAATAATCAGCAAAAGTTTGATTGAATGAATTCCCTGTTGTAAACGTGGATTCAACCTTCAATCTGTAGATTATTTTGTGTTCTTGATATATCTTTTTGACTGTAGTCTCTTCTATTTTTTCTTCTTTATTGTTCACTGATCAAATTTTTCTCGAGACTGCACATTCAATGATACCAATAGTAGCTGATTTTTATTTCTAATCTTTCAAACAGATAATAAGAAAAATATCTGTTTCCTTTATACGTCCCACAGTACTGCCTACTTGAACTCAATTGACACTTTTGTACTTGAACCTGTCTCCGACAACCTATCCGACTGGGACGACTCAAGTGACTCAGACGGCTCAATTGACTCAGAATGGCTCGGCTAACTCGGGCAACAAGAATGACTCGGCCGACTTGGACGGCTTTAGATGACTCGGATGTATCGGCCAACTCATTTTGTATGTGTCTTAAATATGCGGATTTGAGGTCATTTTTTACATGGCTATGATCATGCATTATGCCTGTGTTTAGAAGGTGACAACACCGGGGACTAGAAGTTATAATGATAATAACAGTTGCTTGTGATATAGTGCACACCCCTGTCAAGCCATGACGCTCCTGGTGCTCAAACTATTAACCTGGTCGTAGGCGGCCGTCAAATATGTAACACTTTGGCATAACAGGTGCCCATTTATACCTGGGTGGAGAGTGGCAAATGTGGATTAATGCCTTGTCAAGAACGCTATTGCATTACAAAGTTTATTCATTGTATGTACCAAGTATATGTGTACTGTAGACCTTTACCATTTTGTTTTAGGTGGTTTGTATGCAATGTATGAAATACCACTCAACTTTCACAGAGTGAGTTATGAGCTAAAATATATAATATTTCAAATAATCTTATCAAAATGTCGTTGTATAATTATGTCAATATCAATGCACAATTATTTCAATACCAACGCACATGTTCAATAAAAATATAATTAAGTACAATCATTAAATTAACTTGTGAATTTGTTATCACAAATTACCCAGATGTTGAGAATTATATTGTTCTAGTTATCTTGTCAATGAAATTGATAGAACTCAATATGATAGTTGAGAACTCGCTTGGTCTGGTAAGGGTGTATGAATAAAGGCCTGAGCTATCAGTGTTACATTTTGTTGGACATTTATAGTTGTTTGCAAATTTAAAACTAAATGTACATCCAGTTTTAGATTTCCTGGATTTTCTTCACATCATTCCAGTGTACATGTAAATATGCTGCTGTAATTTTAAGATAGGGACTACATGTCTCTTTTGTCATTCTAACATACTTGAGTTATCAGTGTAATATTTAATTGTACATGGATTATTGTTTGTACATAATTAACTACATCCATCAGTACTACATGATACATTCAGTTGAGGAAATATTGTCAGGATTTTCTTTACATCATTCCAGTGTAAATGTAAATATACCTCTATAATTTCAAGATACTTGCCTATTTTCTCAAATGCACATAATAATAATAATAATAATAATAATAATAATAATAATAATAATAATAATACGAAAAATTTATATAGCGCTTGTGACATAAAAGTTTCAAAGCGCTGTACACAAATCAAATTTACTTCAAGAAAAATCAATATTACTAATGGAACTAACATTACTCAAACTACCAAGAAAACAAATTATTACATGCTTGAGTTATCAGTGTAACATTCGGTTGGACGTGGATTACTGATTGTAAATTTAGAACTTCATCCAGTTCTAGAGGAAATATTTTTCAAGATTTTCTTTACATCCTCGTCAAGCATTGCTTATGATTGTACTCTCCTGTACTTTTTTCCGCAGAGGGTTCAAATAATACTTTAAATTTATTATAAAGATATTGACTGACAGAAGGTGTAATATAACATTCTTATATTTTCCCAAGTGGTTATATTTTCCTGAGGGAAAATAGAACTCCCTTCAGGTCCGAAGAATGAATGTTACATCCCCACTACCAGTCAATATCTGTTATATTAAATAGCCTAGGTTTTAACATTTATTGTGGGGGGGGGGGGGGGTCAAATTTGGGAAACAAAATCGAGAAAGAAAAAATTACGAAAATAACATTTCGAGGGAAGAAAAAAAAATTGGAGAAAATAAAACCGAGCAACAAAATGCATACAGTCCTCAAGAGGGCGACATGCATTGATTAGTAAATATATTAATTTCACCAGCTGGTCAGTATAGCCATCGAAAGTGACCGGCCACGAAAATATAACATTTACGATCCTCGCAACCGATATCACGTGACGAGCTCTGAACCAATCACATCTCGGTATCTGTCTGAGCTATCTAATATAATAATATGTTATAAAAATATTAAGTTTCTTTATTATATGTATACATGTAAATAATATTTTGACTTGAAGTTATTATTGTTTGTATATTTTGTATAATACCTACCTTTACATGTTCTTTGTTATTCAGTTATTGTATTTGGAAAATGTAGTAATCAAATCAAATTAAAATATAGCTCCAGTGTACATTCATTCATTCGTTCATTCATTCATTCATTTCGGTTTATTGTGTCAAAATTCCATGTTAAAACAGTCGGGAGACTGATACAAACAAAGATTAGAAAAAATATACTACTATAATTGTACGATACATGTTTATTCTAATTGTACCTTGTACGTGCATGGAGTTCAATAATGTTGATGATACATATTCCAGGTCTTTCTTTGCATTATTAGATTATGATAAAGCATTGTTAAGATACATGTATATTTTTAACTCGTACATGTTTGCCATAATTGCCTTGTAAATGATGTTTATATTTTAGTAAGCTTGCATTCCTGATTGGCTTATAACATACATACATGCATGCATGTACACACTATTCTTTTGAGCTTTCCGTTTACTTGCCTTTTGATCACCATCCGCCTCTGATTAAGTGATGTCATTTTTATAATCCACTCTGATTTTCAAAATAGACAATGGCATTTCTTAGATCTGTGAGTTTATTCTGAATTATGTCATACAAAAGGTTATACTAGGCTGGTCTTTGTAAGTATATTAGATGATCATGAATTACTGAAATGAAGTTTGCAGTGCCTGAGATATTTCAACATTTTGATGTAAAAAAGGAGACAAAAGAATATGTAAGTTGTAATTTGATGATGGTGTATTTGGTACTGAGTATCCTATTAGCTGAAACGGTGTCACGTAGTACTCAACATTTTGTTATATTTGCAGGAATGTGCAATATAACAACCTTATTTTGCACGTCATGACGCATGCTAAAGAGAATTACATTGCACACTTCTCTCGCGTACCCATTGTTTGCATTGTCCCAGCTATGTGCACATGCTGCAACTAAAGACAGTCTGAAAGTAATCGAGAGGGACTGACTCCAAAGGTTTGCAAATACCCACAATTTTGAAATAACAAATATTACATATACGTTTCATTGTTCAGTATAATGTGTACTCACCTCCAAATTCATAAAAGTCAGGGTACTGATAATGGAGCAACAAGAGTGGCAATGTGCCAGACATGAGCACCATACAAGACTCCTCTGTTATTATTTGTTATCATCTAATGAAAAATTTAAATGTGTGTGTTCATCTACATATCAGAAAACACCTACATCTATTTGATTTTTGAATTCATAGTAAATTTGCTTCATATTTAATGCAATTACTTTATGCTGATAAATGTTTCAAATATTTCAAAGTCTCGCCTGTGGTGTTTTTTCTTCAAAGCAGCATATTTCGAATTCTTTATGTTTTTTTGATCCAGCAATTGACATCTTGGCAGAATATAGTTCTAATAATTATAATAATAACTATAAGAATTAATGATAATTGATAACAATAACTTACTTGATACTTGTCTTGTTTCATACGTGTCTAAGGTTTTTGAATTTTGTTTATACTTCGTAAACAACATAATGATGTAATTTGTCCTTTTTAAAGTGATATTACAGTGAAAAGTTAAACTCATTTTGAAGAGCTCTAAAACATATTCACAAGATACATGATGTAAAAAATCATTGTATTATGCTACCTACTTATGGGCAATGTTATTTTTACTTACTTATTTATTTAGTCATTAAAACATAGTCACAAAGGATAAAAACATGATGAGCAGAGCTATTTTCATAACGGTCCGGATTAATTAAAGGACATACACCATGTAGTAAACAATAACAATAAATGATTGATTAATTGGGTAACATTTTGCCTCTTTCTTCCAGTATTAGAAAACTCTAAATCGTGGCTTGTAGCCATTCTTTATTGACGCAAGATAATTTTGCTGGCCTCACCTCATTACATTGTTTTGTATTGTTATCCTGATAAACAGGATGCATGATATAAAAAAGGTATTTTTTTCATTGTCCTAATGTTATCATTATAACATGTTTCTACTGTTAGTATCATTGAGAATCGGGCAGGTGATTCTTTACGTAGATGGTGCTAAGCTAGGAATCATTCAGAGATCATTCGCTTCAGTGAGAATTCTACTTTGGACTGATATTGAAAATTAGAATTTACTCAATGTAATACGATATGGGCACGTATATCACTAGTACACTAGTTCTTCATGATTTAAACAAGTCCATATGCCAGTTTGGTAATGTTAGAAAGAATGAGAGAGAGAGATTATATCACACCGTAAAGGAATCTCTACTGCGAACAGAGCAAGAACAGTGAAAATTTGAGATTGGAAGAATTACCCAAGAGGCAGTGTGTTTAAAGTGTACCAATCACTTACAATATTTTGTTTCGTATGTAAGCAGTTCCCTATCACAATAATATATACACAAAATATGAACTTGAAATGATACGAAAATATATAGAATTTGCAAGTTTAAAGTAACTCTCAATTAGCAAAAAAGTGACATATGAACAGACCATTCGAAGCACTTGTGGCATATGCACCAGGCATGACATGAGGACCACCGCCCCCACCCCCCCCCCCCCCACTCCGAGAACGGACGGACCCCATGCGTGTTACCAAAATGTCCGGCTCGTAACAAAAGAAAAAGGTCGACCCGTATTGACTTTACACACCGGACTTTTGCTGAAAGGCGGGGAGGGGGGGGGGGGGGGGGGGGGGTGCTGAAAAAAGGTCGACCCGTATTGACTTTACACACCGGACTTTTGCTGAAAAGGGGGGGGGGTCGCTTGGAACACGCATATGCGTACCCTAAATAACACTGAGTGGGGGGCCGGGTGAGGACCCTAACGGAACCCAAGTTCGATAATCATTGATGTAACACTTGTTATGTATTACTTGTTATTTTAAGTCATGGTGGCATTGTCAGTTCCAAAACTGCTTTTCGCAAGGCCCCTAGCTGGCCCAGGTCAACTACATATCCAGTATGTTTTAAGATCCAAATTACAGATTAAGCTGATTGCTTAAGTTTGTAATTAATCATGATGTTAAGACGCAAAAAAAGAACCCAACACTTACTATTCCTTCAAGACTCCGTATTTCTCCATCTTTCTTAGCTCAGTATTACAGATCCTAGCTATTAACACTGAATACACATTGGCAACTCTACTATCCAACATGTGAGCATCTTTTACTAAGATTTGTACAGCGTACCAACAAAGAATGCATTGTTATAAAAAGTGTATTACAGTAAGAAATATTGTTTCTATTTGGGAATAATGACGGTTTCAATAAAACCACCTTCGTGAATTTTGAGAGAAGATTCAGAACATTTCGCATGATTTATTTTGCCTTTTCCACTCCCTCAACCTCCATTGAGCAAAACCAACATTTGGATGGATTGATGAATATTACTTGTAAATATTCCAGTATGGATCTCATTCATTTTTCTCCTTCTCATGTGTTTGATGCATGTATTTAAAGAGGGATGAATTCTTCTATAGGAAAACTTGTAACTCTGGATTTTAACACGATACCAAGGGATAAAAATTCTTACTTATCTTACGCGAACTACAAAGTTCACCCAGAAACGACGTGAAATTGCACGAAATGATATTTACATTTAGATATTCTTTATCAAACATAATGCAAATATAATCTCGATATATATTTTTTGATAATTCTGTTTATCATCAGCTACTAGCACCATATGAATGTAGATTTGTAAGTTGTCCACGGAGTAATAACCAGGTAACCTGCTTTGACGTGTTAGTTGAAGTCAGATAATTTA